AGGCATCCTCTCCAAGTGAACAATTTCAGAGCAGATATAGCTGCTGGTAAATGGCTTTAGTTTCCAGACCGGATTTTCCAACTTCATATTCACAGATAAATTCTTAATCCCTAGAAGTTAACAAATAATCCAGGCTCTTCATGACTGTGTTATTGAACCAGATCTGTATGGAAATTAACTGAAATGATGAGGATCCCCCCCACACACAAGCATCAAGAATTATTCTAAGATGCCAAGGTTAAGAAGATAGACCCAAGTCTCAAATCTACATAACTGAGGGTAGGGTTTGTCAATATTTGTGTGATAAAGGGTATAATTTAAAGCATGGGGAAAGTTGATTTGAGGTAAAGCAACTGTGTATAATTAATCTTTATAGCACATATTCAGAAAATTATAGTGTTAGCATGATCTGAAGGTAGAGTTTTGGCCTCCTAACCTAAAAAAGTCAACTGCTGGACACTTATGCAGACCTAAATAAAGAGTAACTGAATTTTATGGACAGTGGTGGGCATACACCTTTAGTCCCAGCACTTGGGAGGCAGAGGCAAGTGAATCTCCGAGTTCGAGGCCAGCCAGGTCTACAAAGTGAGTTCCAGGACCACCAGGGGCTACATAGAGAAACCCTGTCTCAAAAAAAAAAAAAAAAAAAGAAAGAAAGAAAAAGAAAAAAAAGGTACTGAATTCAACAAAGTAGTCTTGAGTGCCTGAGAAGTAACCTAGGTAGCAACCATTACCATGGCCATTCTCATTGGGGACTATCTAATGAAAAGCTAGTGGGAAACTAATAATACAGTGCTCAGTTATCTGACCTCTCAGAGTCAGCTAAAACAAGTAACTAAAAGCAAACAGGCTAGAAGGTTTACTCACCCCCTATCTTACAAACAGTTTAAGAGATTATTTTATTGGCATTCATAGGAAGGAAGAATTTCTATAAGAAATTTGGCATCAAATACATTATGACCAAAAGGAATTTTAGAATTAAACTTTGTGATAATAGTGACTGCATTGTCCCTCAAGTTATGCTTTGCTTTTGTGTTCATATTTCTTAGCTGCCATCAGTAATCCTTAAAGAGTGGGTATTAGCCCCCCTCCCATATTACAAATGAGCAAACTTGAGATCAAAAGGATTAAGTAATATGTTCTGTCTCATACAGCTTGTAAACTGGAGCTTCATCTTTTGACTCTACTGCATTTGATTAAGTAAATAGAATTTTGGCCAGGCATGGTGGTGATGACTTTAATGCCAGTACTCAGAGCCAGGCTGCTCTCTGTGAGTTCAAGGCCATCCTGATCTACATAGTGAATTCCAGGACAGCCAGGGCTATGTAGAAACTGTTTCAAAAAAAAAAAACCCAAGGTAAATACAAATAAATGTAATTTCAAATTCTTGGGGAAAAGTAAAAAAACTGAGATATTAGCTTTTTGTTGGTTTATAAAATTATTGCATGCTTATTTTCTGACATCAACTCCATTTTCTCTTTACCAAAGATAACTCTGGTTTCATTTATTTATTGTTTTTTGTTTCTCTGAATAGCCCTGGCTATCCTGGAATTCTGTAGACAAGGCTGGTCTTTAACTCACAAGGATCCACCTGCCTCTGCCTCTGCCTCTGCCTCTGGAATGCTGGGATTAAAGGTGTGCACCACCACTGCCCGGCATCCTTATTTCTTTTAATGAGTGATTCCTTTTCTGAATGAAAGATAAACTTTAACTGTACTGAGTGAATCAGGGTGATCACATATACTGACATTTCATATTATGTAAAACCTTCTGTCCCTTAGGTGTGTTGTGTACATAATGACAGTTTATGAGATAGCTGATTAAGTACAGCAGGCTTCAGCATGATCTGTCCTGTCTGCCACTTACATCTGTGTGACATTGGATAAGAGGTTTCTAATCTCAGTATCAGATCAGTCCCTCCCTCCCTTCCTTACTTAATACATAGTTTCTCTGTTGCAGGTTTGGTTTTCCTGGAACTTGATCTGTAGACCAGGCTGGCCTTGAACTCAGGGATCCACTTGGCTCTGCCTCTTGAGTGCTGGGATTAAAGGCGGTTATCATCATGCCTGGCTATTGCTGGGAATTTTTTAAATAATAAAAATGGAATGACTCTGTAAATATTAAAAATATTTAAAACCATATAAAACCAAGATAATTTTTAATTATTTCCCTCACATTAGTTCTGAAGAAAGGATGACATTCCATCAGAAGCAAATAAAGTATTACCTAAATGATGGTAAAAGAAAAATTTGAGGGCTGGGGGTGGAGCTCAGTGGCAGAATGCTTAGTACATGGAAGGCTTGAGTTCAATCTCCAGTCTTCAAAAGAAAACAATAATAATTTAGCTAACTGTGGTGTCTCATACCTATAAACCCATCACCCAGGAGGCTGAGGCAGGAAAATCAACAGAAATTTCAGGCAAGTCTGAACTATTATATAGTGAGTTCCAGACCATCTTAGGCTACATAGTGAGTTCCAGACAGGACTGGGCTAACCAATGAATCTCAAACCCCTCTCTCTGGGCTACAAAGACTTCATTAAAAAATAATAATCAACCAACCAACCAAACAAACAAAAGAGAAGAAACTGGCCCTATGAGAGTTTGGAAAATCTTGAGAGTTTAAGAAAAACACAGGACCTGAACAGGCAATACAGGCAGTGGTGGCACACATCTTTAATCCCAGCACTTGGGAGGCAGAGCCAGGAGCATTTTCTGTGAGTTTGGGGCCAGCCTGGTCTCCAAATCCAGTTCCAGGACAGCCAGGGTTGTTACACAGTGAAACCCTATCTTGAGAAAACAACAAACAAAGGGGAGAGGGGGTAGGGAAATAGCTTTGCTCATTTCAGATATGGACGGGCATTCCTGGGTAGTATGTGATTACAGCTGGTAAACTCTAATGATCTTGGAGGTTTCCTTTAGAACTATCAAAGACATAGGAAGCACGGTTATCTAGCATGCTGACATAAAAAAGTGGGCAATAATGTTAAGATAGTAAATGGCAAAAATCATGTTTCAAGTTGATCTTTATTCTTGGAGTCTTGGACTATATGAGATCGAATTTCACTTAAAAAAGAACAGGACTTGTTAAAAGATTTGAAAAGTGAGTGAACACGAGCACACCAACTTAGAAGTAGTAAGTTAAAGCAGGTTTTGCAGGAGCCAAGCCACTTAGATTCAGCCACTCTGCTGCCTATCTGTGCAGCCATATGCTGGTCTTCTGGCCTTTGTTTTTTTTTTTTTTTTTTTTTTTTTTTTTTTTTTTTTGTTTACTCTCCAACATCGTAAAGTTTTTGTAGGAGCTAAATGAGTTAATTTGGGGTCAACTGTTTTGAACAGTGCCTGATTTACAGTCAGCCCTGTGTAAGGTTTAACATCACATGGAACTCTTAATATAAGAGTTAATATGAGACAGTGGAAATTATATTAACTGTCCAAATGTTCCATCCTTATTCACTTTCTCCCTACTTGAGTTGGGCTCTGAGGGATGGGTCTCTCAGGTGCATCCCTGGAGCCTGCTAACCCATTGTATGGGATTACTTGCAGCTCTTTTGCCTTATCCCACCATTTTACTTCTCTGCTCCTGGTCCTGGGATTTATCATCAGTGGGACCACTGATTTATGACCTCACCTTTGTCCCATCTACAATTTTTTGCCAAGTCTTATAAAGTCCTGGTCAGCCTTGCTTTTGGCTCTGTATTCAGCCTTGTCTGGACTCTGGTGGGAGCCAGGGTGTGAGGCTGTTCTTTTCAACAACACAGAGCGATGCACTTACTTAGAAAAGCAGAAAGTAAATGCTCTTGATTTTCAGATATGCCTAATTTGACATATCTGGAATCCTGAAGTGTAGAAATTCCACTTGACTGAAATGTCAGATTGGAATTGAAAAAAAAAAAAAAAAAAAAAAAAAAAAAAAAAAACAGGTTGACAGAAACCCGCATCACCAAAGTAGTCCACATGAAGGATGTAAAACCACCATTAAGGAAAGGAGACATCAGAGAGGAAGAACCTTGAGGAGAATCTAGTTAGAAAGAGACAGCAGGAAGGTAAGTAAGAAAAAAACAAAAACAACAAAAAACTGGATTCTAAACATTAAAGATTTTGAAGGAGATGATGATACCTAAGAAAGGGTCACTTATTTTATTTTATTTTTTTGAGACAGGGTTTCTCTGTGGCTTTGGAGGCTGCCCTGGAACTAGCTCTTGTAGACCAGGCTGGTCTCAAACTCACAGAGATTCGCCTGCCTCTGCTTCTGCCTCTGCCTCCCGAGTGCTGGGATTAAAGGCGTGGGCCACCACGGCCCCGCTGAGAAAGTGTCATATAGGGAGGAAGAGTTAGAAGGATTGAGCCAGGCGGGATCCCACGGATCCAAAGAAATAGGTGGCTTAAATTAAACTGACAGGGAAAACAAGGGAGGGAAGGTTGGCTCCAATCCACTGTGGGTCTCTGTCTTGAGCCTGGGCAGCAGTGCTGGGCAGGGTTTCTTCACTGGCCCAGGCCAGGTGAAGGCCGTGCATCTGCAAACCGCCTTGAGAATGTAAGGTCAAGAGAGGGGGCTCGGGCCTCCCGGAAGGATACAGTCTCTACCGCCAGCAGAGGTATCATTTACTTGAACAAATAACTTTACACAGACCCAGGCGAACACCAAATGATGCTGGTGCCCAGCGCCGCATCTTCCCGCTACTCTGTCACTCAGCCGGACCGCGGCGTCCCCCGAGGCGGCGAACAGCCTTTGGAGCCCCGAAGCCGGCTTTGGTGAAGGTAGTATTTCCAAAGACCTCCCCAAGGTGGCCAGTCTGGAGTCTCTTCTTCACCCCGCAAGGATTTAACTCCCCCATCTCTCAAATCCAGTCGACCTCTTCAGTGGCTGGCCTGGCCTGGACATCTCTTAGCAGTGAACCTCCTCGCCGATAGGGGGCGGTGTCGGGACTAGGAGCGCACTACTGCGAAAGCACGACACCCCCCCCCGCCCATATTCAGGAAGTGACGCAACGCTTGACCCCAGCGGCTAAAGTTGTGTCACTCAGAATGGAGGAAGTCCCGCCCGCCCCCGGCAACGGAAGTCCGGTCCTCCGCGTCTTCAGGTTTCCTCGTGTCTTCCACCGCCGGCATGGCGCACTACAACTTCAAGAAGATTACGGTGGTGCCGTCTGCCAAGGTAGGGGCGACAGAGGTCGTTCCCATTTATTTCCCTTTTCCCTGACAAGTCGCCAGGGACGGTCCAGGCTTGTATCCCCGGGGCTGGGAGAGGGGGGCTCCCGTAGATCCGCTCGGCCCTCAGTGCCGGGTTCCACTTGCTAGGCTTTGTCTTAGGGATCTTCCTAGATCAGGCCCAGTCTCTGAATCCAAACCCCACTCCTGTCCGTGGGTCTCCCAAACCTAGAGCCCCTCCAAGACCCCTCCTGAAGCTGTGATTCTTGTATGGTCAGCCGATGTGACACCACTGGGTGGTGGCCACAGTGAGGAGCGAGGCAGGAAGCCTGAGCTGTTCAGTGGTGAGCGTCGAGCGATCCCTGCTTTAGGATTAAGTTAAACTTTATTCATTGATGTAACAGCCGAAGAATTTGTAGGTAGTTGTCATCTGTCGTTGGACTTGGGAAATGTAATTGGTTTTAAGCATGCCAAGGTGAACGTAGCCAGGCCATATTTGTGTAACGTAGCAAGATACATCCCCTAAAGTGTCGTATCAGTTAGCTAAGTTAAAGAACCTCCGGGGGATACACGGCGTTTCTTTGGCAAGCTCTGGGCATTGAATTGTAGGATCAATTCAGAGAAGGAACTGTTGTCATTCAGTTTACAGCAGCGTGGGTATTTTCTGTATCCCCCTTTCTGAATGAGCGTGTTTTGAAAAATTTTGTGAAGAACTAGTATTTTCTAGTGGGTATGGTGGTGCACACCTTTAATCCCAGTCCTAGGGAGGCACAGGCAGGTGGATCTAGAGAGACCTGTCTCAAAAATACATAAACATATTTTTCATAAGTGACATACAGAGTTGTTTTCCTTACATGTCTTTGTTATTTCTCCCTCTTTCTGATAATCATTCTGGTAAATTTTTCACTAGTTTGTAATATTTGGAAAGAAACTGGATGTAGGAATCACATCCTGTGTTTTAGTTGAAGAATTTTTGAAAACATTTTAGTACAGCATGTATCTCGGTTGTCCTGATGAATTCTGTTTCTAGAAAATAAATGAGTTTGCATGTGTGTAGAAGATAAGCGATGGTTATTCTGTGGGGGTTTGAAATAAAAATTCAATCTGAAGAGTATGGGATACGTTTGTAAAAGTGTGTGCTAAGTACTGTGTATAAATTTACACAAGATAAAATAATAGCTTAAGAATCATTTTCTAAAGAATAAATAAATGCTTTTATAGCCACAGTATGATGGAGAAATATGTGACAAAATACAGTTGGCCCTCTGTGTTTGTGAATTCCAAATCCAGATTCAACCAACTGTAGATCAAAAACGCTATTTGAAAATTGATCTATATTTAATGTACAGACTGTTCGTCTTCTCTCCTTCCCTTCCTCCCTCTCTCTCTCTTTCCCATTTATTTTGAGATGTGGTCTTATTATGCTGCCCTTGCTAGCCTGGAACTTAACCTAAATCTGCCTCCAGACTTGTTATTCAAGGCATGAGCTACCATGCAAAGGCCTGGTGCACAGACTTTTAAAAACATCCCCTTCGTATAGTGTTAGAGCTATTTAAAGTATATGACAGGTGTATGTGATTCTTCTGTGTAAGAACTGTGCTATTTTCTATAATGAAGTCAAATGTTTACTTGTTTTTTTGGAGGGGGGGGCTGAATACAAATTCCCCATAAATACCAAGGATCTAGATCAGTATATATAGAATAAGAATATATAGATAGCCAGTGGTGGCTCACGCCTTTAATCCCGACACTTTCCAGGCAGAGACAGGCAGATCTCTTGTAAGTTCAAAGCCATCCTGGTCTACAGAGTGAGTGCCAGGAGGCATCTTTTAAACTGTCACCTTAAAGATGTGACCATGGAAAGGAGGAGAGGAGTGGCAGGTATGAGCTTCCATGTTCTTCATAATCCTTGACAGACTGTATGTGATTGCCTGTTTGCTCTTCTTTTTTTTTTTTTCTCCTGTCACTGGATTCTGGTGTTCTGTTCACTATTTATCTTCAGCATTGTATCCATTTTATCTTTTATAGGAAATGGTCAATGTTGTTGAATTAATGGAAGTGATCAAGGGGAATTAAAATAGCTTTATATGGTGTAGAAGTGACTGAGGAGACACAAGATAGAGAAGCAGGGTCTCCTCTCACCCCTACTACTGAGGAGTAAATACAAAAAATAAATGTAAATCCTCAAATTGTTCTTTATATGCATAGGAAATTTTAGATGATAGGTTTTAATATTTTTCATTTTCTATCCTCTTATAATTAAAGCTGCAAAGACCTTGGAATTGATATACTGACTTTTTTTCAGTAGTTTTTCTGATTTATTCTTGACTTTTCCTAGAGATTTGAAAGCTAAAATAGCATTTTTAAAAAGCATGGGGTAAAATATATCTCAACAATCATTTAACAAGTTGCCCCGCCCCAATTTTTCCTGGAGGGGCCTCTTCCATCAGTTGGGAGTACTCACAGGATTTTCAGCCGTTCCAGGTGAAGGGCCTGGGTATGGCTAGGCACATCAAGCATTTTCCCACTGTCTGGAAGAGGTGCTGGGTAGTTGTGGCCTGGTAATCCTGGTGGCATACTTGGTGTAGGGGCTGAGTGGGGGCATAATTAAAGCAAGGCTTCTGACACCAATGGACATCATCAACACTGGCCCTTTTTGCTCAGGCATTCTTGAGGAAAGTGGAGAGTCTCCCAGCAATCTTGGTCTTGGTAGCTGCTAGCAAGTTTTCCTAAAGGCCAGAAACTATAAAGATGAGCCAAGTTTTTTTTGTGTGTGTGTGTGTGTGTGTGTGTGTGTGTGTGTGTGTGTGTGTGTAGAGAGAGAGAGAGAGTTAGAAAAGTAAATTTTGTACTTAAAACATGTACTGAATTAGTGTTTTAAGACAGTAGTAAGTAAATGGATGGAAAGTAATAATTGTGTCTTAATTATTTTCTTTAATCATAGGACTTTATTGATCTGACATTATCGAAGACTCAAAGAAAGACTCCAACAGTTATTCACAAACATTATCAAATTCACCGAATTCGACATTTTTATATGAGAAAAGTCAAATTTACTCAACAGAATTACCATGACAGACTGTCACAGATTTTGACAGATTTCCCCAAATTGGATGTAAGTGACATGGATGATTTATACAGATGTAAGCCTTCAGAGAATCAATGGTTAGCCAGTTTGATGTATTCATTTGTCAGAGAAGTGGAATAATTGATTTGTCGGTTACTAAGTGATTCAGTGACAAAGCTAGTTTTGGAATCCAGGTTCTTTCTGAATCTTTAGTGTTCTTCCCAAACCCTGTCTCAGTAGTCCCAAAGCTATCTCCCCAGGCTTTATTTGTAGTGAGTGTCTGGACTTGCCAGTGCCAATGTTGGCTTAGATGAAAGCTGTTGATTGCATATTCTGAAGCCCAGGTTTCTTGGGTGGCCTATGGCTTGTCTAACCTTCACCCTTCCTTGTTCTGAGGGCTCCTTTTCCTCTGGGTTCAACAGAATGAGTGGCCAAAGTTTGTGAGCTTGTGACTTTGTGGGTGATGGTTAGTTCAGCACTGACAATTTCCTTTACTGACAAGGGATAGCACAGAGAGCTGTAAACAACCACTGAACACACTTCACTTCCCTGCAGTTGACTGCTGTCACGTGTTTATTCAGCTTCAGAAACAGAAGAGCAGAGACATTGTTCATTTCTTGGGAAAGGCCAAGTGTTAGAAAGCACTTGAGGGTTAGAAAAAAGAATGAAATGATCTAAACTGATTTAATATTAGTAAATACTCGATTATTAGTAAACTGTATTTTAAAGTAGTTATAATCAAGTTTTTGTGGTTCTTTTTACATATATCTTCTTCATTTTTTTATGCATGAGAGAGCCGGAGAACTCAAACACTTGCCTGTTCTATTATTACTGCCTAGTGGCAGTCTCCCCTGCTACTCTGAAATTGTTTTCAGGTGGATACAGTTTTTGGAATTCTAAGTCATTGAAAACATTATATGGAGAGCACAGTTCCAAGCACTAGGGATAGAACAGCGGTAAAGATACTCTCCTCTGCTGAGCTAGAGGATCTTCACCAGCCTAGGATGCATAATGCAGCTGTCAAAAACATAACACATAGAAAGAAACAGTTTTGGATTTGTTTGTTTGTTTTTTCCTGTGAGACTGTGACTAGAGCCCTGGCTGGTCTGGAACTCACTTTGTATCCCAGGCTGGCTTTTTGCTCACAGACCTACTTGCCTCTCTCCCTGGTGCTGGATCTAAAGGCCTGCATGACAATGTCTGCTACAAAACATGTTTGAAAAGCAGGTTAAAATTATTAGTGCTTAGAGGCAGAGGTAGGAAGATCTCTGTGAGTGTGAGGCCAGCCTGATCTACATAGTGAGTTCCAGGACAGCTAAGGCTAATAAAGAGATTGTCTCATAACAAAACAAAACAAATTTCTAGTAGAGTGAGCTTATAAACATAAAAATATGTAGCATGTCATATCAAAGAAAGAAAGCTTAGTTAGGAAATAAGGTGTCTGCAGGGAGACTGAGAGAATTGGAGAGTGACTTGTGTAGGCAGAGTAAGCATCAGGTGTGTGAAGTGAGAATTAGCAGTTGGGGAGTTATTAGTCAACTTAAGCTCATAAAAATTCTGGTTAAGTGTGTTCAAGTGGAAAGAAAAGGTGAAATGCCTCCCTTCCTGCCAGCATCAGCTAAGTTCCTGGAGGGGCGTGCGCGTGCGCGTGCATGCATGTTGTCCTAAGTAGTTCTGACACTGTCATAGGATGGAGGTTGGGGTGAGTGCAAGTGACTCTAGCTCCTTCCCTGGGGATTGCTTCTGTTTCCTTAGAGGAGTAATTTGACATGGTTACTGGAAAAGAGATGGGTTAGAGGATCAGAGGTTAGAGGAAAGGGAAATTAGTCTCTACTGTTTGTTGCATAAGACTATGAAACTATTGCACCACAGTGACATTGTATATTTCACTTTTTCATTATAGGATATCCATCCATTTTACGCTGACTTGATGAATATTCTCTATGACAAAGATCATTACAAGTTGGCTCTAGGTCAAATAAATATTGCCAAAAATTTGGTGGACAAGTAAGGTATTTTCTTACTATAGTATCTTGTAAGTTATTATAAATATACAAAAAAAATCTTAGATATTTTCTCTTTTTCTAAGTGTTGCTAAAGATTATGTGCGGCTTATGAAATACGGTGATTCTCTGTACCGCTGCAAGCAGCTGAAGCGCGCTGCCCTTGGGCGCATGTGTACTATTATCAAGAGACAGAAACAGAGTTTGGAGTATTTGGAACAAGGTACTTGTTACACATAAGCGGAAATGGGTTTTACGGTGTTCGTTTATGTTCAGGACTTATTCTTGACTTTGTTTTCCTTTTGGAGGTTTGGGAAATACATGTTTTTAGTATTTAGTAAGTAAAACATACTCCTAAAAGTACTTTATTTAGTAGGATAATTTCTAACCACAGCTGGAAATCTGGACCTTGTGCTACACCCCTATCCCTACAATCATTTTGATTGGCATTGTTCTCTTTCCCTGAAATGATTTGTCAAGGTTCTTTGGATGTGTTTCCCACAGATGTGTGGGTCTCATGATAGCCCAGTGGGCACCATATGCTAGAGTTTTGCTGGTGTTACAGGTGAGGTAACTAAGCAAATAGTTCAAGTAACAGCATGTGCATGCTTCAGAATATACTGTAGACCAATTATCAGTTATAATTTTTACCAAGCATGGTTCTTAGTCTCACTTTGACTAAAGCAACCAAAATAGCAGGTTGGTAAATTAAACATGACTCTTGGTGTGGCCACATTTGGAAATGCTCTTTTGTAGTTTCTACAGTTATTCCTTACCCCCCTCATTTTCTCCATCATTTTGGGGGTTATAAAAGTGTAATCCCAGCCACTGGGGAGGCTGAGGTAGGAGTGCAAGGTCAAGGCCTGTTGGCGCTAGAGTGAGTGCAAAGCCTGCCTTAGTGAAGTCTCAAAATAAAAGGTAGGGTTGGGGATGTAGCTCATTGTTACAGCTCTTTCCTAGCATGGTAAGGCCCTAGGTTCAACAACCAGTATACTCCTGTTGCCCCACAAAAAGCTACAGTGAGGAATTTGTACCATCTTAGTTTATTAAAATAACAATGAGCCTGGAATATGACTCAATAGAAAGTAAAATTTCAAGCCAATCTTAAATTCTAATTTTTAACTCTTTATAGTACGTCAACATTTATCCCGCTTGCCAACCATTGATCCAAATACAAGGACTCTGCTTTTGTGTGGGTATCCAAATGTTGGGAAATCCAGCTTCATCAATAAGGTGGGTATGTTTGTTTGTTTGTTTGTTTTTGTAAAGCAGCCTCTTAATTTAGGTCAAAGTACTAACCACATTTCCTTTGTTGGATTCAGGATGGGCTTGGGAATATTTTGAGTAGCCATTAATAAGGATTGCCCTTGTCTTTGCTATGTTCTGATGTGTAAGCACATCCAGGTTCCTTTCAGGAGGGGGTTAACTCATTGTCTGAACCTAGATTTATGTAGTGATTGCCAGCACCATTCATTTTGATTCTTGTGTACCCTACAAATTCTCAGGAGTAGGAGACATCTCCGTTAAATTTTTGTTAACTGACGGAGAGGTTTTCATGATAGTGTTGTGTCAGCTCATTCTGGGAGTTCTCTGATATTCCTGGTGGCACTCTCTGAGCTAGAGTGTCCCAGCCTAAAGCTACTTGGGTGATTTGTTACCTTGGTGATTGTGTCAGCTTTCATATGAACTATGTTCCATTGTAGTAGAGATTTTCTGAATCTCTCTTTACTTTCTTTTTCTTTCTTTCTGACACAGGGTCATGTTATGTAGCCCAGGCTGACCTTGAGCCTGCTATCTTCTTGCCTTCCAGAGTGCAGGGATTATATAAGGCTCCATGCCTGGGCTGTGTCTTCCTTTACCAGAGTAGAATTATTATGCTCTGGTGTGACATTTAATGAAAAGTAATTTCTGGATATATTAGGGCTCACCCACCCAGGGCTAGAACATATTTGCTTTGAAGCTTTGTGTGTGTGTGAGTTTGTGTGTGTGATGGTCAGGGAATAACTTGCAGGAGTTGGTTCATGTGAGTCCTGGATTGAACTCAGGTTATCAGGCTTGGTGGCAGGCACCTTTACCTACTGAGCCACCTTGCTGGCCCAGTAGGTTTTATTTTTGCTCACGATTTGCCCTGACTTAGTAGCAAACAACGACTTGGTAGCAAACAACATTCTCAGGGTTCTAATGGAAGTTTCAAATGCCTGTCAGCTTGCTCTAAATCTGCTATGACTCTTCTGTGCTCTGGTGGGGGAGGGGAGTACAGTGGGTTTAAACTAATTCGGCAAGATGAAAATTTCAGTTCCTGAGTGACATGAACTGTGTATTGAACCTTGAAGAATAGAGAGTGGCTGGTCACTCCGTTTAAGGGAAGAGGAGCCAGGCATTTGCCAAGAAAATAATATCTGTCCTGTGTAGTTTACTCATATACAGTCCCTTGGGATTTTATTTTCTACCAAAAAGGTGGAGAGGGAGGGAGGGTGTGTGTGTGTATTGAACTCAGTGCCTCACACTTACTAAGTAGTGCTCTTCCACTAACTGCTATCACCAAGCTTTTAATTTTGAGATAATCTTTCCCAGTTGCCCAGACTGACTTTGAGCCTGTTATCTTCCTGCATCAGTACCCTGTGTGGCTGGGACTTGAGCAGTGTTGTGTTTGTCTAAAATTAGTCTTGATAAAGTGTGGGTACCATGCTTAGATTGTTTGGGGGGAAAGTATCATTTTTGACTGTGAAAGTATCATTTTTGTCTCCTTCAAGGTGACAAGAGCAGATGTGGATGTTCAGCCCTATGCATTTACCACCAAATCTCTGTTTGTTGGGCACATGGATTATAAGTACTTGCGCTGGCAGGTGAGTCTCGTCTCTAAACATAGAACAAACATTTGATGATTTCTTAGGAGCTGTAGCATATCTCCGTCCCATAGTGCACTTAGTATAGTCAGTGGTGAGCAGCATCCTCTAGGGACAATTCAGAGGTGGGGGATAGTTTCTCTGGTCTCACCAAGAACTTGAGATCTCTCCCTCATGATAAAGAGAACTGGCCCTACCATTGGAGATGTGTAATGACAGATCATATTTATGTAACAGAGAGGAAGCTGGCAGCTACCTTATGGATTTCTGCATTGCTCCTGCAGGGATGATTTCATTTCCCCAGTGACACCTCTAATGAATAAAATACTGTCTGTGTTATTTTGAGCTCTGTCACTAGAAATAGCATTTATTATTGAAAAGCATGAAACAGTCTAGCTTACACTCAAATCTAATTTTATAAAAGATGAAGAATCCAAATCTTGGGAGTTGGGAGAGCTATCATTTATAAAGTTTCTCTGTGTTTTGATGATTGTGTGAAAAGAGGGCTCATTTCTCTCAAGGCCAGTATCTCTTTAATGGGCTCTGCAGGTTTCTTTAGATCCCTGTATCTGTCCTTTGGATTCAGGGCCTCACTCTAGCCAGGGTGTCCTTAAGCTCACTGTGTAGGTCACTCTAGCCTTAGACTCATGGCAGTCCTCCCTGTTTCTACTTCTTTGGTGCTGGGATTACAGGCTCCTGGATTTGGTTTTTGCTTTATAAAGAAATATGTAATTTTTTCTTGTTCCTTTGTTTATTTTATCATGGCCAGGTTCTGATGTAGTATTTTATGTATTAGTTTTGCTAGAACTGGTTTGGGTGTAAGAGAATGAATCTGGGACCAGCCAAGGCATTTTTGAATGAGTGTACTTTGGGTAATGAAGCCTGATTCTTAGGTTGTAGATACCCCAGGGATTTTGGATCATCCTTTGGAGGATCGGAACACCATTGAAATGCAAGCTATCACAGCCCTGGCCCACCTCCGAGCTGCAGTTCTGTATGTGATGGATTTGTCTGAGCAGTGTGGACATGGGTTGAAGGAGCAATTAGAACTCTTCCAGAATATCAGACCTCTGTTTATCAACAAGGTAAGTATGGTAAAAATATACTTTAATTTACACACCAGTACCTTCTTACCCATAGGTAATGGGTTCTAAGACAATCACTGTGGACATCTGAAACCATAGCTGATACTGAATGTTCTATATTTCGTGACCACAAACAGTACTGTGACAGTTGATGTGATAACTGACACAAACCAAGTGGCTGGTGCCTGGTAGCATACACAGTGAATAAGCCAGACAAAAGGATGGTTTGTGTCCTGGGTGGAATGCAGCACTAAGACAAAAGGTTTCATTGCACTGCTTAGGATGAGCCACAATTTAGACTTACAAATTATTTATAGAACTATCCAGTTTCTATTTCCAGCAGTAGTTGATCTTAGCTTGGGTAAATGAAATTGCAGAAAGCAAAGGCATGGACAAGTAGTGGGATTGTGTCATTCTGTAGTGTGAAAGTACTAATTTCTTTTCTTTCTTGCTAGCCTCTTATTGTTGTAGCAAACAAATGTGATGTGAAGAGAATAACTGAGCTTTCTGAAGAAGATCAGGTAAACCTCTTTGGTATATTAAACATACCAAAGTATATTTATATATATACTTTTTTTAAAAAACCAATTTGAATCCTCAGATGTTCATTTAGAAGGGATTTTACTTCTTCTAGACCACTTTTTTATTCTAGAAACTAAGATTACCCTCTGTGGTTTAGTGGCAGGACATTAAACCTGAAATATAGTTTCCTGCTTTGTCTTCAGTCTGTGGAAACAGTTGTGTTTTAGGGGGTTGCTATGCTGAACCAATGGGAAATGTGGTTACCGAGGAAAGGACTGCTTTTAAATTGGTACCCAAGAGGCAGCCAGGTACCTTGATGTTCGATTTTATCTTTCCCAGGCCTTAGGGTATCAGGTGATCTAGGGGAGCATTTCCTGCAAGTTTCTTTTTAGAAAGGGAGTATGGTTTACTTTGTTACTACTTTATTATGTAAAGGAGTCTGTGGGTAAACACAGTTGAGAAGTGAGTGAAAGGGGACAGGAATCTATAAGCTCCCAGAATAAGTCCTGTGCAGAGCTGTGAACATGCTGCCACATCTGCCAATAGTATCCATGAGGCAGGCAGTGTTGGTAGACATAAGTTTTCAAATAACTGACCCTTTTATTAGACAGTTTTCAGGATAAATGCTCGGAAAGACACGTACTCTCACAGTGTTCTTGCCATGGTCCCTGACTAGAAGCTTTCTTCACATTTACCTGATAGCTTGTCAAAAATTAATATTTTTGGGCCCACAGACCCCTGGTCCAAACCTCTGGGGTATGTTAACAGTATGAGTTTGCGTAGGTAATTGGTGCACACTGGCTTTCTGAAAACCAGTATACTAGAATGGAAAAGGCTATCTGGCTATATCTTTTGTAATACTTGAATTAAGGTAGAATATTCCTGAGGTAGGCAGGACGTTTTATTTTATGAGAGCATCTGTTTCCTGCTCTCTTCTATTGGAGTATTTTCTAGGTGGTAAGGACTCTTCTTTGGGGGTATTTTATAAATAGTAAGGATTGGCTTATCTTAAGTTGTCTACTTAGATTAGAACACAGTGTTGTTTGGTTTTGTTTGGTGATTATTTAAAGACAGGTGTAGTATAAGTCAGAGTGGCCTTGAACTCTTGATCCTCCCTGGATTCTTTAAGTTAATAATTAGCTGCCATTGATGTCAGAATCATTTTGTCTTAAAAACAAACAACTGTTACATCTTTTAAGTAATTTCACTTTGTTGATCTGAAAGGCACTGAAGAGTGGGTAGCACTAGGAAGGCTTGAGAAGTAAAACAAACTGGTCAGATGTTCAGGCTTTGGGGTCAGGCTCAGATCCAGCTTCACTACTCAACCAACAGTGTGGTAGGAAAGTGAGTCGCTCTTCTGAGGCCCAGTTGTCTGTCTATTGAAGGCAATGTCTAGATAATTAATTACTTGCCAGCTGTGTAATAGAGAACTGACATCACCTTAGGTCATCTTTCTAGACCCTGACTTATCTCTCTAGTAAAGGTAATGCCTACATCTTCAGTTGTTAGTATTACAGTAGTTGGGAAATGGATGCTGTTAAAAATCTACAGCTTGCTTAACATTTGTATAATGGAGCCAGTCCTTTTACTTATCCGGTCCTTCAACAATATTATCATCACATGGTAGTAACAATGACATGCACAGAGACTCATGACTCCATTAACGCACCAGGTCATTTGTTGCTCAGACCCTGATTCTCTCGAACCATGCTTTAGTCCCTTGATAACAGAAGTTGACCTTGTTCATGGGGAACCTTAGTGTCTGTCTATTGGGAGTTGGTCACTTGCCTCTAAACTAGGGAGGTGTCATGTAGTTGTAAACATGACATTTGATGGAGGACATACCAAGTCCCTTCTCTAGGGTGTTAGTGATTCATAAAATGATAGATTAATAAACGATTTTTATACTTTCCTAAGAGTTCTCTTGAGCTATTTTGGCAGAAACTTTAAAATAATAAGTAGCATTGAAAACATCTTTTGAAAGTTTGTCTTTTCTACATAAAGAGATAGGCATTCAATTCCAGCAGGTGGAGGCTGGGGTAGAAGCCGCCCTGTGTTCCATATTGTGTTCTAGGCCAGCCTGAGCTACAAATCAGGCCCCTGCCCTTTTAAAACAAAACACAACAAAAATTACATCTTGGGGCTGGGGAAATAGGTCAGTGGCAGCTTAGTTCTGGTACTATGAGTTGGATGGGAGGGGAGATCTTATAGAATGTTCTGTAGAGCTTTGGATTGATGTGACATTGATTCTGTTATTTTCAGTTGTATAAGAATATTGGAAAAATTAACTTACAGCTGTTTGTTCTTCAGGGGTTAAAAACAAATCATGGCTTTTGAACAAATAATGTTTGCAGCTTCCATTTGCAAAACCAAAACAATACAGCTTGCATTGTAGTTGTAAACATGACATTTGATGGAGGACATACCAAGTCCCTTCTCTAGGGTGTTAGTGATTTGGGATTTGGGAAACTGGAAAATAACAGTGCATGTTTCACTTATTTTCTTTGTATTCTAGAAAATATTTACCGACTTGCAGGCTGAAGGATTCCCTGTCATCGAGACCAGCACCCTGACTGAGGAAGGTGTCATTCAGGTTAAAACAGAGGTTGGTGCTTCCTGTTTTTGTTTTAGAAACGTCAGATGGTTTTTCATTTTCTTTCTTTCTTTCTTTTTTTTTTTTTTTTTTTTTTTTTTTTTTT